GTCTTTGTTCCAGAGTTAGGCTTTGTGGGCACTTGTTGGACATGTTACTACAAACACAATAGGGGGATGAATTGCATGGGTTTGAAAAACAATTCCCAAATAACAATATTTTACGAAATCAGAGTTTAACATACATTGTAAAATAAACACTATAAAAGCAGCAGAAAACAAAAAGTCAAATAGATGGAAATGCAACAAAAATAAATAACTGAAAAATAAAAGTTAAGGGAAAAGAGAAAAGCACCATGGATTTATAGAGGTTCAGTATTGTAATATGACCTACTCCTCTCTCCAATAATTCCTTATTCAGAGTTTCCATTGTGATGTGAGCTTTTGACAGGATTTCTCCACAAACATCCTTACCAAAGGAATAGAGTTTTGCAATGTCTAACTTACTAATCAAACACGTCGTTTTAACTAAGGAGACATTTCAAACAATATGTTTTAAAATTGGGACAATCTTGAACCAATAAAGAGGTTTTAACACCAAGGTAAGTCATAAGCTGACTAAGAGTTTTAATTATGGAGATCTCCCAACAAAACAGAGGTTTTAACTAGTTTACCTCAACAATCAAACATGAGTTTTTCACTTGATTTTGCTCACAATCAAAATGTTTTTTCTCCCAATGATATTTTACAATATTTCCCTTACACCAAACTCAAATACCTGACATATAAAAAACTTCACTCTCAAAAGATACTAAGGCAATAGTGATGAAAAAAAGGAGAGTGAGAGAAATATATTTATATTATGTTTTCATTTGTAAAATTAAGTGAAGGGGATCCCTCTATTTATAGGATAAAATGTGACTAAAAAAAGAAAATATGCATAGGCCTTTTTAATGCCGATAATCAATTAAGCAAGTCATATAATCGATTATCAAGCACAAAATTGGAACGTTTTTAAAAGAGCTATCACTAGTCGATTATAAGCTATGACAATTGATTATGAGGCGCTACAAAAAAAGATAATCAATTAGGCCTAAGGGTTAATTGATTATACAATATAAATTTTTTTCATAAAGAACTTTTTGAGCTTTTAGCCGATTAGCTAGGCTAAATTTTTTTTCAATGTTTTAATAAACATATAGAGGCTCTCCAACCATTCAAAAGTGTGAGTGTGATTTTCCTAAGCAATTTCAAGATCTAATCTTAAACCTTTATGTATATAGATCACTCGACATAGTCTCAGTGGGCTTTCACACTTCATCTCTTTCACAACTCTGAAGCTTCATGTTGCTTGCCATATTATCTTGGACTTTAGCACTTTACAAGAACCTTGAGTCTTCATCTGATGAGGCTTAATATAACTCTACAAAGTAGACACCACCATCACACACACAGCTTGATCAAAGATCTTCAATAACTCCACCGAACACCATATATACATTAGGTGTTTTCCTCAAAAGATAGGTTTTGACATCATGATCTCCAAGCATCAGAAATTGAAAACTACATAGATGAGCTTTGATATCTTGATATCTTGATATTTAAGTACCACAACTTGATCAATACATCAGATGACAACTTCAGCTCAAAGTGTTGTCATCATCAACACCAGATAGACTTGATCAACACTTTTGATAAAAACTTCACTGAAAAGCGTTGTCAACATAAAAACTAAAAAAGATTGTTGCAGACATCATACTTTCAAGCACATAAATCCACAAACATGTGTTCGGATTATAAAATATGAACATGTGAAGATACTCAAAATAATATGTAATGTAATACATCATATATAATGCATAATATATTAATCAAATTATTTAAATAAAATGAATAATGCAAAAGTGCATCTTGCTTTGTCGTGTAGGAACCACTCCCTTTTTTTTTTTCTCAACCTATTGCTCCGTTTTTAAACCTTTACCTCATGTATCCCATCTAAATCTCTCAAATGTGTAGGAAACAAGTGTCTCGGTCCTCTATAGATAACATATTGTTGTTATGCCAAGTGATTTTTGTCGAACTCTGATTTTGAAAAGAAAATTTTTAAATTGATATTTTTGGGAGTGGTCTTTTCAACCCCCATTCTAGATCTCCAAGTCCATATTCTCTCCCAACAAATAAGAGTGTAATTCCTACATCTAATGAGAAAAAAAGGAAGAAACAGGGAGAAGATAATTGATAGTCAAAGTAATCTCAGTCTACTGATACTATGTTGATTGGTGAAAGCAGATGCATTATTACCATTAAAGAAAAAAAAGGAAAATAATAGAAAAAGGAATTCTATTAAAATGACTTTATAAAACAGAATGAGCTTAAATTTATTTATAGGTCCAATAGATCAAATTTGTTAGAAAAAAGAAACCAAAACTAATTGGCCCATAATTCTATAACCAACTTATTGAAAAATACATAGTAATTTATGATGTAATAAGTTTCTCACAAATATCAATAATACAATATAAAATACATAAATGAAGTAATGAGTGAATTGTTTATTTTACAATAGATATGAGTCTACATGAAAGTTTAATATTTTTATTTAATAGGATTTAGATATAAAATTGAAATAACTCCATTTTAATGAAATTTTGAATTCAACAAAAAATGATAAATTGATAAATTTATTATTGTACTTGTCAAAAGTACATCAATTGTTACATTTCCTACAATATAGAAGAAAATCCTCAATATGAATGATATGTGAAAACGATCTTCTCTATATTATTTTTTCTCTCTGACTTTGTAGCCAAATATGGTCTTAACTCAACTTTATTCCTTTAAATGTTACATATATTATACTTTATTTCTCATTACTACCATGTCCCTTATTTGTCTGAGATTTGAATATGCGAGTCAAGTGTAAGTCAGCTACGTGACTCAAACATGAGTCATCCTTATGACGTAAAGACTTTGTTCAAGTGGAGCATGTGCTCATAATGTTCACGTTTTTTGAGTTGATATTGATATGGGCTACATTATTTATAACATTCCAAAATCCCTTAAGAACAAGGCTTATAAAGGAGAAGTGGTTTAATGTGAAAACTTAATAGTCTAAAAATCCTCAAGATCGAGGATTGCAATGTGCAAAGTCATTGGGGATAAAGTCTTTGAGAAAAAGTATATTTGTTTCACAGGGTTGAGTCAACCACATCATCAAATGAACTCTCCCCTCTTTCATAACTGAGAGTTTGAATGATATGTCTTGAGATTAGCCTGAACTCACCAATGCCATTTTGAGTATTCTCCAAGGACTTAGAAAGTTCAAGCCTTAAAGGGCCAAGGTTAGTTGATGCCAATTGAGTTTCAAACATTACAGATATACTGATCCGTAGTCCCTATAACACTAGACTTGTAAGGGCGAAGTGTTTAAGTTAGAAAATATGGTTGTACGCAGTTCCTCAAGTACGAGGCCCATAAGAGAAAAATAATTTCAAAGCTAAGTTGACCTCCTAGTAGAATGATCTTGCCAACACAAGACATTGTGGCGAGCCAATTAATATTACTCAGGGTTGGCTTCATCTCTCCTTTGTCATTTTGAGTATCCTTAAGGGTTCAACGTGTCTGATTCCGTTGTTTTATTATCTGTTAACTTAGTTTTATTATCATTTTACTTATGTTTTATTGTTTTTGTTATATTTCAGGAGTATGAAGAAGAATGAAGGATCAAAACCTATATTCAAAAGATTTAAGACTAAGAATGAAAGATGTTTGAACGTCCCAAAGAAACCAAGGAAGAATGAAGTAATAATTGTCCAAAATAGTGAGAATTATGGCCAACCTATAATTTCCATTATGACTGTAACTCTCCCAGGCTTCTCAGGTGACACAGATAAGTTTTCCGTATAACAAGGAAGATTACGACTTGTTCGTAATGGACATTACCACCTAAAGTTTCAAGACCCCTTAGCTCTCTTCAATTTTACGTGTTTCCCTTTTGTTATTTCCAAAAAATAAATTAACATGATATTATAACATAATAAAGAAAATCATACATAATATTAGTAAATTTTATTAGTGAAACTAATGAAAGATAAAACATAGGGCTCTTTTATCCTAATCTAGAGTTATCAAGAATTTATTCGGGGAAAATGTTCATGTAATTAATGAATAAGTTTTATTTTGGTCATAAGTTTTATTATCTAATTAATAGAATTATGGACTTGTGCCAAAATGTAATTAATATAATTATATCTTAAGCACGGTGCTCGTAAGATGAAGTGGTTTAATATAAATTTTGATAATTCATAATCTCTCAAGTTTGACGCTTGAAATGGGAAAAATGTTTGGAGAAAAAGTGTTTAAGAAAGAAGTATACTAGTTCCTAGGGCCGAGCCAACCTCGTAGTTGAATGAACTTGCCCTCTTTTATAACTGAGAGATTTGGCTGATATGTCTTGAGATTTTCCTGAACACACCCATGCCATTTTAAGTATTCTTCAAAGATTTGGTGTGTTTTATCCCTAAAGGGTCGAGGTGAGTTGGTGCCAATTGAACTTGGTCCATTGTAGATATACCGGTCCAATTACTATCAACTAAAATAAACATTTTTTATTTGTATTCGTGAATTAGTTAAACACGCGTTTTTTTAAAAGTGTAAAATAAAATTATATTAAAAGATAAACCTAATGATAAAATAGTGATAATTGTAATAATGTGATACAAAATTTTATATTCTTAATTAAATACATCATAGTACCATTGAATTCTTAATAAAATTATAAATAGTTGAATTAAATTTAAACATTTAGTTGGTATGTTTAATAACAAGATCATGAAATGAGATTAGTATTTTGGGTTATCTTTATTCTAAATACAACTGTTTATCTAAATATGTCATTTTTCCATTTCATTAATCAAATTTTCTTCTCTTTCTTCATCAATCCTCCAAGCAAAGAGAAGCACCGGTGTGGTGTTTTCTTTTGCTTTTTTCATCCATCCATTTAGCTTCTTGGGTATTTTCTTTTTGAAAAATATTCCTTTTAAATTTCTCTGGCCATTCCTTTTCTCCAATAGATTTCTGGGAACTTATTTCCCAGAGAACTCCAGAATATAATGTGTATGGTATCCCGCACTGGTAGAGATTTGCAACGCTATGATGATGATGGTTGTCGCCAAATTGTCGGGTACGTACGTGCGTCTATATGATAATGATTCTTTTCATTTTTTATCATCACATTCTCAACTTTAATCTTTCCAATTCATGATATACATGATAAATGTTTATTAATTATGTTTCTACAATTGACGGATTTCATTTAGATTATTAATTAGGTGACCAAAATTCATTGTTAATCTAATATGTTGTGTATAATATTGGAAATGAATAGATGCATTCCATATAGATATATGAGAAAAGGAGAGCATGAGAAAGAATTGGAGGTTCTGGTGATTAGTACTCAGAATGGAAATGGAATGCAATTTCCAAAGGTATTTATTATTATTATTATTATTATTATTATTATTATTATTATTATTATTATTATTATTATTATTATTATTATTATTATTATCTCCATTTTAAATCTCTCTGAATGGTTCTTAAATGGTTGGATTGGGTTGTGTAGGGAGGTTGGGAGATTAATGAATCTATGGAGCAAGCTGCTTTAAGGGAGACCATAGAGGAAGCTGGAGTTATGGGAAATATTGAAGTTAGTAATAACCCTTTTTAAATTTTAACTTATAAGTTACTTTTATGAATTAAAATGGCATATGCTCATTTATATTGCAGAGTAAATTGGGTAAATGGTCTTATAAGAGCAAACGCCAAGATGCAGTACACGAGGGTTATATGTTTTCTTTGCTTGTCAAAAAGCAGTTAGAGAATTGGCCAGAGAAGAACTTCCGACAAAGAATTTGGGTAAGCGTATTGTATTAATTCTTTGTTATTTAATTACTTATCATATCTAAAGTTTCATTCATTTGTGTTACGTAGATGAGTGTTAGTGAAGCTAAAGAAGTGTGTCCACATACTTGGATGAAAGAGGCTTTGGATATATTGGTCAGCACACAACCTCAATATTAACCCCATTAAAAGACCATGAATATGTAACTAAGTAGTTTGAAGAGTGGATATTAACTTTTCGATCTTCTCAAAATTTTGGTATTTGCAAGGTAATATACACGAAGACTATTCAAGATTTTAGGGCCAATAATTCATAACCATTTAACAAAAATCCATTAATTTATACACTCATAATAACATGTAATTCATGCTCTTTGATTATTGTTTCAGTGTGGAAATGATCATTGTTATTGTTATAAAGGTCATCCCTTCAGTGTAGCTCCAAATATCCAGTTTTTAGAATGTAGTAGTTAAGGGATGATCTCGCAAACATATCTTGATCGTAAACTGATGTACAAAATTAATACATTCTTTCATTTCTTTTTTTTTTTGTGTCAAACATTCATTTGATTCTCATGCAATGTGATTTTTAACCAAAAATAATATTTATTATCCATACTACTTTATTCTGATAATAATAAAAGTACTCAACAAAACTGATTGCATACGCCATATCAAACTCATGTGTTATCCTTACTAGTTAGTTGCCTAAGTCTTGTATCAAGGGTTATATTTTAACAATCAAGATTTAAGAAGATGGGTATCAACAATGTTTAGAAAGTTATAAGAGTCGCATTTATAGTTTTACCATGTCAAAGGGTGAAGCTCCAATCATGTTGACGATTTTACATTAAAAGTTTTGAAACTACAAATTTCTTTGATCATGGCACATGGTGCCATTATGAAACGTATTTGTTAATGAATATAAAAATTAGTTATTATTCTCATCATTGTTGGATCTCATCATTGTTAAGGTTTTAGGTGGATATGTGGTATCTCCCTCACTTGTGTATTTCTCTTGATCCAATGTTGATGCTCCTTCTCATGACCCAACAAATGGTATCATGAGCCTTTGGTTCGAGAAAGAGACCGACTTACTTGTATCAAAATGTTTTGGAAGAGGTGTCCCATTGAAATCGGAATGCCCAAGAAGAGGTGTATCGAAATGTCCAGGAAAAAGGTGTGTCTCAACGATGGTACAAGTTTCCACTTGAGGGGGAGCATTGTGGACTCACACTTGAAGGGGAGTGTTGAGAATATTGGTTATAAATATGGAGAGTTGAGCATTTATAAGTGGGAGGATCCATACACCTATCACCTTAAGGTTTTGGGTGAACATGTGACGTCTCTCTCACTTATGTTGTTCTTAACCCACTTTTTAATGCTCCATAGTTAAAAAAAAAGCTCCCCCAACAATCATAATGAGACAGAGAATAAAAAAATAGAAAAATATTACTAATAATGAAACAGTCTATAATATAAAGAGATTGCTCGCTTTATATAAAGTAACGACCGAACTGAATTACAAAAACTAAGAGTGATTGAAACATATTACTCTGACAAAATAATTTCACATGACAAACTAAAATTTCAAAATTATACAATTTAATCATACTTTAACACCTCCTTAAACTAATAAGAATATCAGTCCAAATTTATTGACAAGTGAAGAAAAAGAACCAAGGTGGAGAGATTTAGTGAAAATATTAGCAACTTAGTATGTTGTAATAATGAGCAAAAGGTGAATAATTTGTTCTTGGACCTTGTCATGAACCAAGTGGAAGTTTATCTATATTTTTTTCCGGTGTGAAGACTATTTTATTTTTAATATGGATATCACTTTTATCATTATAAAAGATAGAGATAGGTTGTTTATAAGGGATGCATAGATCTAACAAAAGGTAAACAAGCCATTGTGTTTCACAGGAAGAGTTGAAAAGGGCTATGTATTAAACTTCTGATGAAGATCTTGAGACTACTTATTATTTCTTATTCTTCTATCTAATGAACCCAAATAGAAAGAGAATCCATTAGTTGATCTTCTGGTTTCACTACAAGCATTTCATCAAAATCAATAAAGCTTGTGATGTTAAATATGTAATTCATTGTCATTATGTGAGTTAAAATAATCTTGAGATCAAGATTGATTAAGTGAAATTCTCCATAAGTTATGGTTAAATTTCCAACATCTGGTATCTAGAGCTCCGATTACGATTCAAAGAAGGAAAATCATGATGGTGATGAATCATCCAAACGGTCACTTTTCGGAATACATTCCAATTCTCAAGAAAGATAATTATGAGAATTGGTGCAAATAGATTAAAGTGGTTTTCTGTTATCAAGATCTTTGGGATCTTGTGAAGGAAGGAGTAGCACCGCTTGCAGAAAACGCGACAGATCAAGAAAAGGCTGCATTCAAAGAGTTGAAGAAGAAAGATTATAAAGCCCTCTTTATAATCCATCAATGTGTAGATCCAAATAATTTTGAAAAGGTTAGTGATGTAGAATCAACGAAGGAAGCGTGAGAGATTCTTGAAAAGTCGTTTGGAGGCGTAAAAAAGGTGAAAGAGGCGAGGTTACAAACTTACAAGAGAACCTATTAATTGCTTCAGATGGAAGAAAGTGAAAGTATAACAGATTTCTTTACTAGACTTACAAAGTTGGTGAATCAAATCAAGGTATGTGGAGAAATGTTGACATCAAGATCAGTTGTTGAAAAGATCTTGAGGTCGTTGGCTCCAAAGTTCGACCACGTGGTAGTAGCCATGGAAGAGTCAAAAGACTTGTCAAAATTGACTAAGGAAGAGCTTCAATAGAATCTTGAGTCTCATGAGCAAAGGATGGTTGAGAGAACTACATGAAAGTCGAAGAGTGATATGGCTCTGCAAGCACAGTCAGAAAAGGAAAGGAAATGCAAAGGAAGCTGGAATGACAACAAAGGTATAAGAGGCTACAATAATTCGACTGGTCGCAATCAATAGGAAGGAAACTGGTCGAATAAAAGAAAACCCTAGAACCAAGGCAACCAAAGAGATAGTGTTGCAGGTAGAGGAATAAGTGGTAGAGGAAATCTTGACAAAAGTCACATTCAGTGTTTCAATTGTCAGAAGTACGACCTCTATTTTAGTGAATGTCGAGAAAAAAAGAAGAATCAAGAAACTGATGCAAAAATGGCGAAGCACGAAGAGATGTTGCTAATGGTTACAACAAGAGACGAAGAGAGATTCTAGGACCAGTGGTACTTGGACTTAGGATGCTCATCACACATGACTAGAAGGAAAGATTGGTTTATCCACATGAAGCCCTCATTGAAGAACATGGTGAAAAGAAAATGACGATACTCTAGCAGCGGAAGGTATTGGTAATGTTTGATTATGAGGAAAGATGGCAAGAGGTCAAAATTTTCCAATGTGTTGTACATACCAGGCATGAAGAGTATTTTGCTTAGTATAGGACAACTAGTCGAAAAGAACTACAAGATGATGAGAGTTCTCGGTGCAGGTGGTAGGTTGATCTTGAAGGCTCAAACGTCTCAGAATAGAACCTTTAAGATTGAACTCAATGTGATGGAGCACAAGTTCCTAGCAAATGCAGCCAATAGAGACGAATGGTTATGGCATTTTCGACTAGGCCATCTCAACTTCAATGACATCATATAGCTAAAGAGGAGAAATATGGCTTCAAGATTACCTAAAATCGACATTCCAAGTGAAGTTTGTGAAGAGTGTGTTCAGTCGAAACAACACAAGAATAACTTCAGCAAGGATGCAGGAAGGAAGTCAAAGGCAATTCTGGAAGTCATATACTCTGATGTATATGGTCTAATCCAAGTGGATTCGATTGCAGGCAATAGATACTTTGTCACGTTCGTAGATGATTACAGTTGAAAGCTACGGATTTACCTCATCAAGAAGAAAAGTGATGTGATCGAGGTATTTTCCAAATTCAAATCTATGGTCGAAAGAAAGAGTGGTCGAAAGAGAAGGGATGCATTATGTGAAAAAGAAGGGACTGTACATGAGGTGGTGTCACCCTACACTCTATAACAAAATGGAATCTCAGAAAGAAAGAACAGAACCATCATGAACATGGTGAGAAGTATGTTGAATGGAAAGCATATATCCAAAGAATTATGGGGAGAAGCGGTCTCGATAGCAAGATACATATTAAATAGATGCCCGACGAAGAAGCTTGAAGGAATCACACCAGAAGAATGTTGATTTGGTGTCAAGCCTAACCTTAGTCACTTGAAGGTGTTTGGATATATAACACATAGACATGTGCCAGATCAGTTGAGAAGGAAGCTTGATGATAAGTCGAATTAGATGATCTTGATAGGATATCATTCGATTGGAGGTTATAAGTTGTTCGACCCTGTGAGTAAGCAGGTAGTGATCAGCAAGGACGTGATCATAGATGAGCTTAAAGAAGGGGATTGGGCTGAGAATGTCAAGAAGGATTCAGTAAGAATCTCTTGTGAAGAACCAACCATTGAAGTTGAAAGTGAAGTTCGACAGGTATAAGTTAGAGATGAAGTTGGCCCAAGTAGACCTCGACGAACAAGACACATGCCTGCAAGGTTGCAAGAATGTGTGATTACATCAGATGATGTAGTCGATGAAGAAGGTGAGTTGGTACACTATGATTTCTACACAGATGTCGAACCAGTCAATGCAGATGAGGCATTGAAAGATTTGAAGTGGGTGAAAGCAATGAATGAAGAGTTAGACTCCATCAAAGTCAACAACACCTGATCACTTGTCGATTTTCCTCAAGGCAAGAAGGAAATTGATGTGAAGTGGGTTTACAAGGTGAAGGGGAATCCTAAAGGAGGAGTAACTCGACACAAGGCGAGACTTGTGGCGAAAGTATTTCTTTAGAAGGATTTCTTTATGATAGGATGTGATATGATCAATAGTTGACTGTTGGGAGTAGTCCTAGAAAGTTTAACATATGATGTAATCATGCTCAGTGGAGACCTCTTTGATATTACTGGTGATGTATGAGTACTCATGCATTCATTAATCATTTCAACCTGAGAGTCTGTGAAATTGAGGACCTTTAGTAAACACTTTTACCCCACCAAGCCTTTTTAGGACGTAGTGCAGAAACTGTTAGGGAGTAGTCCTGAAACAGTTGTTACACGATGCTACACTCAGACAATTTTATCTCGAGAATAT